AATGAGTGTGGCATTCTCTACAAAAGGGTGAACCTAGCTGGGCATGGTGGTTTACGCCTTTAATCCCAGCACTTGGGAGGCAGAGGCAGGTAGATATCTGTGAGTTCAAGGCCAGCCTGGTCTCTATATTAAGTTCTAGGTCAGCTGGGGCTATAGGGAGACACTGTCTTGAAAAGACTCCCCCCCCTCAAAAAAAAGTGTGAACCTTAAAGTCTAACAACTGAAGTTGGAAACCAACAGTGGCAGTTGCCTCTGTGGAGTTTGTTGACTAGGTCCACCATGGATACAGAAAAGGCCTGTACTGAGCATTTCCGTGCTCCAGCACCTCACACCCAATCCATTCTTTCCTCAGTCCACTGGGTGGGCACCATGTTTGTCCCTTTTAGGGCTGGTGGTTGCATTCACAGTAAGTAGTGTCACCACCAGTAAGTAGTGTCGCTGGGATTCAAGCACAGGCTGTTGACTCCAGAGCTCAGCCTCTCCTCCCTCCTCCCACAGCCACACTTCTCATATTCCTGTCCTGCTCAGACTGACTTTAGGTCTGACAGGTATCCTGATTTGGGTCTTTTGCACCTCATTTCCTCTTACAGAGCTCTCTGGGTATCTGCCTCACCCCCTTTAAGTTATAAATCTTGAGAAACAACCCCCCCCATCATCTTTAAGAATGGACCTATCAGCATGTTTCAGAGATAAGAGAAAGGGATCCAAGTCCCTTTGAGCTGGGGTCTGCTGCTCTGGGGTTGTTGCTGAGGGTTGTGAAGTCTGTTGTTGGGCCTCTGGCCACATGTGGAATAAGAGGAAGTCTGATTGCTTTCTGCATAGTATTCCTAACCATCATGGCCAAATGTCCAGCAGGCACTCAAAAAAGCTGTAGGCTGATGCTGTGACACAGTGGGCAATGGAGTGGACAGGTCCGTCTGCCACCAGGTAACTGGTTAATCTCAATCATCATTTTGGTAGGACTGAATATTGCCAAGATTAGTAAATCATACCTCTGGGTTTCCAAAAGGGATTAACTGAGGTAAGGACCTACCCTGAATGTGGGCGGTCTGATAGGTTGAGGGCCTGAATGAACGAAGGGGGAAGAATTCTGCTAGCAAACACACGCTCTGTTTCTGGGCCACTATGAGGTGAGCAGCTCTGGTGTACCAGGTCTCTCCCCTGTGACAGTCTGCCTCACCTCAGGCCCAGACCAAATGGAATCAGCTGACAGTAGATGTGACCTCTGATACCAAAAGAAATCCTTCAAGTTGTTCATGTTGGGCATTACATCCTATGACTTCTGGCCACCTAGAACAGTCACCTCCTTGGAATCACACCTATAGAAGCTGCACCTTCTGGACACAATGAGATAAACTTTCAGAATCACAGAGCACACTGTATTCCTGGCACCCTTGGGACACAAGCACACAGGGCTTCAGCTGTGCTACTGGAGGCTGATGGGGTATTTGGCTTCTGTCCTCCTCCCCTGTGCCTTACTGATCCCTGCCACCCTGAGTACTCATGACTCATGCCTGGAGAGAAAGACTGGGTGTTCACACAAGGCCCTCAAGTCTACCCGACACTGAACATTTCTGAAGTCCTGGCTCTGACAGATCTGTGTGACCTGCCCTGCCCTGCCCAGACTATGCAGACAGTACTGATCATCAGACCAACCTGAAGCCCACAAAGTCCCGTGTTGAATAGATGTAATACTAGATGCTTTCTCCAAACACAAGGATGCTTCCTGCCCTGTGCCAGACCAAGGCATGCCTGAGCTTCTATTCCCTTTGGTAGAATGGGCAAGGGGGGCTACGTCCACAGGTCTGAATTTATTTCGTAGCATCTCATTTATAGCATTTTCAAGTACAAGATTCTGTCCAACATCTTTGACACATGAAAACAGAAAAGCACAACTTGGTAAGGCACCTGCAGAGGAGCCAGGCTCCCCTTTTGGCTTGAGACTTCTGGGTAGCTGCTTACATGTCTTGAAGCAGAGAACAAAGTTATGGAAAGTCTGTTTGTACATGTGTGGTGAGAAGAAATGACAGTTTGGAGACTGGTACAGTGTTTTTCAGGTACGTTAGCCCACACTGAGTGTTAGGCTGAAGAGGCATCTTCACACACATGTCTCACAGAATCCCCCTGATATACCAAGCTGCACATTCAGCCACTTTTCAGCTTTGAAGAGAACTAACTTTACATTTTACTCAAGCACATACTTGTTAAAGTTTCTCAGCTCCAACCTCTATTTTCACAAAGTAAAAAATGCAGGAAAACCTCAAGTACAGTGCACCTTATGATTCCATAAAATGCAGTAACATTAAAAACTTGCAGGAAGTGTCAATCCACTAGATTTGTGGCATAAACAGTCCAGGGGTATTGAGTCCTAGTAGAAAGCTTCCAGAACTGGACCACACAGCATCCTTCATGCCACTTCCCCAGTGGCCTGGAGGCAGGGTGTGAGGCCTGACAGTCCTGGCATAAAACTTGAAGTTTGTATTCCCAAAGCTCATTTGCTTGCTCTCTGTTACGTCTGCTTTATTATAGAAGTTAAAATTAAATAACTCACTTTTCCCCACCCACATTCTGTGCACAGAATAGGCAGAGCTCCGATGGGAGGCTGACTTTCCACAGACAGCCAAGCACAGCAGGATAAATGTAGTCACTAGGTCTGTTCCAAGTATTTCCACAAGTGAAGTAATGTATTCACTCAGGCTGTAACTAAACGCTTCAGGAAAGTATGGCTGCTAGCAATCGCACTGTGCTAAAAAGCTAGTCACAAACAGTCCATGTATTTTAGTGGTTAAGTGATTAATCTTTGTTAAACAAAGCAATCCTTGAGTCCCATTTACTAGCAGGAAAAAGCCCCTGACCCGAAGTATGGCCTGATCTTTTGCTTTTTTTCTATAGAAAAATGCAAGGTAAATTTTTTTAATATAAAAAAATAACACAAAACCCACAGACAGAAGATTCTGTTACTGGCTGGCCACACAGAGGTGTCCCTAGCTGGTGACTCTGCCTTGTCCATAGCAAGCTAGAAGGTGTGATTTAGTGTGATCCCTGCAGTGTCTTAGAAGTGCCTACCACACTGTGAAAGGCTCTCCTGACACAGGGCTGCCTCAGAAGAGTCAATTGTAAGGTCCCCACCTCAAAGGACATGTGTCACAAGTGTGGTCTTCTGACTGCCCCCTTCTCCAGGAAGAAGGTGCTGAATTGAGTGTGGCCCCTGTGCATACCTGGCCCTCAGGACAGTGCTGCCCTAGCCAAGGCCCTGAAAGCTATGGGGTCCAAAAGGATGCTTGTCCCACATTTTAAGAAGGTCTGGACTTGTGTAAATTAAGATAAAAATGATAAAAAAAAAAAGATGTCTGTTCAAGGTAACAAGAGGAAGAAGGCACACCACCATGGTATCTGCAGCTGTGCTTTTGTGTGTCTGAAAGTCCCATCAGCAAGCGAGCTCTGTGTGTGTGTGTGTGTGTGTGTGTGTGTGTGTGTGTGTGTGTGTTTATAGACAAGGACATTTCAGCTGACTTAGGCGCATGTGGCCCACAACTATCTACTGTGGTCTCTCAAGATTCCCACTTCCCTGCAAATGGGACATGAGTATGGCAGCTTAAAGCCTGCAGACAAGTGTTCCCTCTGCTCCCATCACCAGGACACAGGTGGCCCAGTGCACAGGCCAGTCCTGAAAGCAAGGAGCACACACTCTGATTGCAGTGTGAGTCATTCCCTGAAGAAAATACCAGCGCTGAACCCAGCACTTGCCTTCTGCGGGGCATTTCCATCGTCATATGGTATCAACACAACTGGTCACGTGATGAAAAACAGTAATAAGCAAGTAGCATGTATACTTCCATCAATAGTCAGATTTGGCAGTGGGATGTTTTGGTTGTTTTAAAATCCTAAACAAATGAGTCTCAGCGAACCACAAAAGGGATGGGTGTAAGGTTTTGTAGGCAGAAGCTTCTCTTTTTTTCAGATTTTTGCTCTTAGAAGAATGGGTATGACTTGTATGGTTTCAAAGCTGGGACTTGTTCTCATGGTGCCTGGTGTGTGCATGTCATGCACTGAGCACTCAGTAGCCCTTAATGAGGAGAGGGTCATTAGTCACGTTTTCCTTTGCCCTGTACAATGCAGCAAACATCATCCTGACATCCAGCTTTGAAAAGCCTTTCTCATATGAAATATAAATTAATCCAGAAGTCTACAGCTCTAAGTTTCCAGAGTTATGAAAAAAAAAAAATCTTAATTTACTTCCAAATGTCTTTAACTTATCTTGCATATGACTCTCAACCCTAAGCTCGCACATAGGAAATTAAGGAAGGATGGGTACACACACTGAGGACTCCTCCTGCGAATACACCCCCCCCACACACACCCACACATACACTGTATAGAGTTGCTGCAGCTTCTGCCATCTGCCATCTGCAAGGATCAGGCTAGGCAGCAGTACTTCCTCCACCAAGACTTGGACAGGTCCCGTACCTTGTCTGGGGTCCTGTTCTTACACTTCTTTGGCTGTTGCTGGGAGTCGGAGTGCTGGATGCCAGCAACAATGGCAGCGTCAAACACCTCTTTGAGGTTTTTCTGAGTCAAGGCCGAGCACTCAATGTAGGATACAGCTTTGATTTCTTCGGCACACAGCTTTGCAGCTTCCTCGGGCACCGGCTTCTCTTTACATTTGTCCAGCTCGATGAGAACTTTGACATCTTCTCTGAGGTCCGACTGTGTCCCCACTAGGATGATGGGGGCCTTGGGGCAGTGACACCGAATCTCATGTACCCACTTCTCACTGACGTTCTGGAAGGATGTGGGGCTCACCACGCTGAAGCACAGCAGGAAGATGTCTGCGTTGGTGTAGCAGAGAGGCCTCAGCCTGTCAAACTCGTCCTGCAACCAAGCACACGGCCATTACCCTCAGGTTAGCTTTCATCATTTTAATAAGTGGCCTGCCAGGCCTGACTAGTCACAGGAAGCCTATGTTCTTATGAAGAGTTGCCAGTGTCTCAGACCTGACCCTGCCTGCCCTTAGGACAGAGGTACAGCCTCTATCAGTTCCCAGGACCAGCACAGGCCTAATACTCCGAAATGCCGTTTGTCTGCTCAGTGCTAGTAACCATCATGCCATGTGCTATAGAAAAGCACACAAAGCAGGTAGGATCTGGAGACAGTTCACTTTATCTGGCTTTCAGCCCACAGTGACCTCAACTCACTGTCTCAACTCTTGGGACTCAGCTTCTCTGGAAGTCAGAACACACATGGTCTCCAACACTCCAACCTGACCCAGTGACAGAGCTCCCCTCTGAGTTCCTGCACTGCCTTGCCAGAGTACAACTTTGACACATGCAAATTCTTCCCACTTTCCCACACTATATAGAGTTGTGTTAATCAGAAACAAGACAGACTGAGAAATGGAAATGGGGATCCTTGTAGGCTACTACTAGAACCAACTGAGAGTTGAACTGGTTGCTCCCCACTCTCACCCACAGACACTGGTGTACAAAGTCCTGTTCTGGCTATTTCTTTCTTTTTCCTTTTATAGCTTTGCTCCTTCTTTCATCTCCACCAGTGGCTAAAGCTTCTACACAGTGCTTTGGACAGATAACAGACCACAGAGTGGGTGTACCTGTCCTATGATCCAGAGAGGTAAGTGTGGACTATAAATAAACTGACCGGCTTGCTGTTGGATGCTGCTCTTCAGTCTCTACCTACAGACTCGCCAAACTCTGGACTACACATAACAGAAATGCACCAGGCATCCACGTTAGCATCTCCTCCTTTCAAACATCTTACAGAGCTCTTCAGTACCATGCCCTACCCACAGGAAACTCCAGCTCAGCCTTGTCCCAGGAAAGCTTTCACACCAGCTCACCAATGTGTCCATGGATACCACCATCCTCCAGCATCCACTGCTGATGACTTCCCAAGGCAGGAAAAAGTTAAATGCTCTCAATGTTTTCCATTACTCAATTGGCAGCCCTGACTACTGAAACTCCTATTTACAAGACATGATTCTCTATGTATGGCCGCTTTCTCAGGTTTAAGGGAACCAACATCATTTATTTGCATTAGCCCTTCATTGTCTGAGGTTTTTCCATTGTGGGTCAATAACCAAGCGGCCACATGAGTCAACAGCTAATGAGTTCAGCGGAGAACCCCGCAGCTCTGGGCATTTCTGTCCCTGGTGAGGTCCCTATAATTGAGAGCTAAAAAAAGAATGACTTCAGTTTCTTACTGTCAACTTTGTGCTGAAAGAACAAATGCAGAAACCCAGCCTGGTAGCTGGGCTGGCTTGGGAAACCTTTCCCAGATCACTCCCTCTGTGCTGGGCCTTGAGCAGGGAGCATAGAACTGACTTGGGCTCTGATTATGTGGGGGAGTGGGGAATGAAGGGACAAAGTAATCATCTTGATTACACCCTGAAGCCTGTGGTGGCCTTGTGACTGGGCTTTGGAACACTGCTTCCCAGACTTCTGAGACTCTAGCTAAGGAGATGGAGAGGTAAAGTAGAAACAACCACCGTGCACTGTGGAACAGAAACCTTAGAGCTGTGCTATAACACAACACAACCTCAAGGAACTGGTTCCAAGGCCAGGTAATAACATACCCTGGTTAGGCCTATGGTGTGGATACCACAGTGTTGAGGGCAGGGCAGACAGACAGGACAAGACTGCAGCTTCCTTCTGGTCTGTTTATTCTTCTTTTTAGCATAAAGATTTTTCCAAGTATGTCATGAATCAGAACTGATGAATTTCTTGACTCCTCTGGCGATTGCAGCAGAACACACATCCTTTAGCAACTCTAGCTGCTCCTAAGCTAACTACATTTCTTACAACCATCCATCCATCTCTGCTTTATATGCACAGGAGACCACAAGTCCACTGTTAAGTACTTAACTGCCCTCCCTGACAGCAATACTCAAAGGCACCAGAAGTGGATTCTGGGCATGTGCTTGACTAGTGGAGCCATGCTTCTAGCTCAGCAGCAACCAGGGACACCATGCTTGTGCTCCATGACCTGGCTAATCTGTGCTCCCGTTCCTTCTCCTGCCCACTTGAAGGATGTGCTCCTCGGCTGAACAAGGTGAGCGTCCTGTCAGATCCCTCACACTTGGATTACCAAATCAGGACCAAGGAGGGTAGAACTACCACTCTGACCACCTTTGCTGCAGTCAAAACAAGCACTCACCTGTCTGGTCCTTTTCTCGCCAGCACGTGCTTCTTGCAAACAGTCTTTAAAACTGGTTTTCTATAGCTCTTTAGATGAACCCTGCTGGTTATTTTGTGGCGTGTTCTCTGCCAGCTAGTCTCCAAGTTGGAAGCACGGCACCAGGTTAGTACTTGGGGAAAGTCAGGCAGAGCCCAGCACCAGTTTAATACCAAATTATTTTTTCCTTGATTATAAATCAGTTTTGTGAAAACATTTCTAAGATGACTCTTATGCTTCTTTGAAATTCTTATTTTTATTTTTTTTTTGAGGCAGGGTCTCCCTGTAGCCCCAGCTGGCCTGGAACTCGCTTATGTAGACCAGACTGGTTTCGAACTCACAAAGATCCGCCTGTCTCTTCCTCCTGAGTGCTGAGACTAAAGATGTGCCCCACCATGCCCGGCTTCTTTGACATTTTTAAAGACAGGGTATTACTATATACCTTGAACTCACTCTGTAGCCCAGGCAGGCATGAAGCTTGCAATTCTCCTGCCTCAATAGCCCAGATGCTGGGATTACAGGCCTGAGTCACCATTCTTGGCTTACTCCCTGGCTTTTAGGCAGATATACTAAGGAAAATTCTTAACTCCTTCTTGGAAATGCTGAGTCTATTTTCTAACAATTCCTGGTTTAAAATGTTGCTCCCTCTAAAGAGCATGCAGAACATGCCTGGGGCAAGGCTTTTTTTCCTGCACTGTGCTGTTTTCCTCATGAACGCCTGGAAACTGGTCTGTCTTTCCTCAGATTAAGGGTCTGAAGCAGGCAAGCCCACAATTGTGCATACCCTGATGCCTGGCACATTCTGGTCCATGCACTAAACCATGTGGAACCCTGAGGTATGCCAGACCCCAGCTTAGGATTTGTCTTCCAAGGAAAGCCCACCCCTCAGAGGCCAATGTGGCAGCAAGAGACATCTGAGGGTTGGCACAGTGATGCCTGGGGGTATGGTATCTGTGCCTTGGGGCTCCTCATGTTTTCTGCCTTTCCTTCCATCTGGCCCTCAGGCTGCCCACAGCCAATGGATACTCTTCTGTCCATGTTCTACAGATGAGAGAACCTAGCCTTCTCACTTTGTGCAAAAACAACTCTGTGGACATCATGCACAAGAGGAAAGACTCAGGGAAATTATCTCTTTAATAATTTTTTTCTTTGTTTGCTTGTGTTTTGAGATAGTTTCATGTAGTCTAGGCTGGTCTCAAACTTCCTATGGAGCCAAAGATGACTTTGAACTTCTGATCCTCCTGTCTCCACCTCTCAAGTGCTAACATTACAGGTATATACCACTATGCTTGGCAATTTTGCTTGTTTTTGTTTTTGAGTTAGTGTCTTACTCTGTAGCCCAGATTGGTCTTGAAGTCACTATATAGCCCAGGCTAGCCTCAAACTTTTGCCAATCCTCCTGCTTCAGCCTCCCGAGAGCTAGGATTATAAGCATGGACCACTGTGCTTGGCTTTTGATGTGACTTTCCCACAAAATGAACATGCTGATTGTGTCTGGTTTCTTGAGCTCATAGCAAAGAGGCTGAGCCGCTCTCTTAGGCTGGGCTTCAGTTCACATTGCTGCAGTTACCACCAGACTGGTGATCCATCAAGGCAATACAGTCTTATGTCACCCTGAGGTCTAAAGAATAAAGCCAGTCCAGAGGCCCAAGTCTGCTGTCATGGAGAAGTCAGTGACCTGGAGGTCCTAGCTTGGCTGAGACCTGGGTGACACTGAAAGACAGCTTCTTCATAAGCACAGATGGTCAGAAAAGTGAAGCGAACACATTTACCTCCTGCATGTTGCCAGCTCCAGACACGTGTCTCTGGAGAGACACATTCACTGTCACTTGGGCATCTGAGTGCTCACAGGCCACATGACCTTGTGTTGGATGCAGTCTCTGCTGGGGAATGTTTACTGAGCTCCAAAACTCTTCTGGAAGACACTGAGGGGATACTACATCCATGCCCCTTGCATCATTGCCTGGCTACCTCTTCCAGTGGCCTGCCCTCAAGATAAGAATAACCAAAGAGAGTAACCTTTCCCTGATCCAACTTCAGATGGCCCTGAACATCATGTCTCTGCTCTAGGACTGGGGAAAGTAGATGTTAATGCTCACTAATGTAAGGTCCATTTTTTTCTTTAAACAAACTTTTAAAATATCTGGCTTTTTAGTCTTGAATAAAGTGATTTTAAGATATCAAGGGCTGACTCAGAAATTATTGCAAATCATCACTGTGTTTTGTTTTGTTTTTTCAGGCAAACCAGAAAGTGAGAGCTATCAGAAACTCCTGTTAAGATAAAAACTGTTTCAGTCACTGCCTCCCCCTGCCTGCTGCCCAGAACAGGCAGACTCTGTTTCACTGGCCAAGGGGTGTCCTTCTAGGCCTCCTCACCTCCTCCCACTGCCCTCAGAGGAGCCGCAGCAGGGGTGGGCCTGCTTCACCAAGTTTTACAATGACCTAGTTACTAAGGGAATCATTTGGAAACATGTCAAAGGTTGTTTGGAAACCTTTAAAAGGCTGTTTCCTTTCCCAGCACTGAGCCCTGTAACTTGATACTGACCTGTCCGGCAGTGTCACAGAGCTGTAGTCTCACAGGTCGCCCATCCACCGACACCACAGCTAAAAAAAAAAAGAGAGCAAGATGATTATCAGGATGTCTTTTACCACATTTGAGGGCTGGGAGCTCCTGTTCTGGGCTGTCTACTGAGCTAAGGACTTGGCTAAAACCAGAGGCTCCTGGAGGTGTTTTTGTGTACAAATGTAACAAGGCTACTTCCATCACAGAGCATGAGGCAGCAAATCCCTGACCCCCAGAAAGCACCCAGGAAGGCCAGTGCTTTCCTCCCAACCCTGGAAGATTTATTTTCCTGTCACACTTGTTCAAAGGCCCTGTGTTCAAACAAGGGGGATGGGAGAGTAGGTGGGAAACTACACTGTTTTAAATCAGTGGAAAACCTCAGATAGTTCTGTTTTCTCTTGGGAAAAAGACCCCTGGCTTCAGAGTTTATCACAAAACTCCAGCAGTTCTGAGAACTTGTGCAAACACAGGCTGCCTATCACCCTGTGTATAGAAAACGGTACTCCTCCATGTCAGTGCAAAAAGGATTAAAAAGAAAAGTTAGTAGGGCGTGGTGGCACATGCCTTTAATCCCAGCACTGGGGAGGCAGAGGCAGAGGCAGAGGCAGGCGTTATCTTTGTGAGTTCAAGGCCAGCCTGGTATACATAGTGAGTTCCAGGACAGCTGGGGCTACAGGGAGTCCCTGTCTCAAAAAAAAAAAAAAAAAAGGAAAGAAAAGCTGAGAAGCTGAGAGAGGAAAGTAGCTCACCTTTCCACCAGAGTCCAGAGATGGGGCTAGGGCAAGGACCACCATCCAGAAAAGCCATGAGGGTTTCTGCTTCCGTTAGGCAATTTGTCTCTTTCTGACCACCTTTCTGGTTATGTTTATGATAGTGGGAGGGAGGGAGGTAGAGAGGGGTTCCCTCTGCACTTCTGAGGGAAGTCTGAGACCGAGGAAATCAGGCTTTGGCTATTGAGCCTGGAGAAGATTAGGGAGGCAAATTTTTTAGGAGCAACCTTTCACAGTAGCTTTTGTGAATTTTAACTTTTTCTTAAATTCCAGAAAGGCTTTAAAAACCAAGGTAAAGGTCTCCTTTATCTTTGTAGGATACAAGGGCCCATTGGTGAAAACTTGCTGCAGCTAAAGACAGACTGGGAAGGACGAGGCCAACCATCAGAAACTGAGCCGGCGCAGGAGGGGCGCGGGCTAGGCTGGCGCTGGGTGCAGAAGAAAGGAACATTCCGGTAAAGCCGAGCCCTCGCTGGTGCTCCCGGTCTCCCACCCACCGAGCAATTGCGGCTACGCCGGGAAGAGAGGCGCTGGAACTGAACAGCCGAGGGGGAGGGCCGCAGGTGGAAAGGGCACCTGTGCGGCAGCTCTCTCGAAGCCAAAGCCGGGGACACCGGGTCGGCCGGACGCCGCCGCCGCTGCCCTGCTGCTGTCCCGCCGCGCTGCTGCCCCGGGACCGCACACCAGCGCGCCCAGCTCGAGCTCCCGCCCCTCCCCAGCCCGAGGCCCCCCGCGTCCGGCCCGGCGCTCACCCGAGAAGTTGTCGAAGGCCGTGGGGATGTACTCGGTGGGGTAGCCGTTGGTGGTGTAGCTCACCACCAGGCTGGTCTTGCCAACCGCGCCGTCGCCCACAAGGACGCACTTGACGCCGCGCCCCTCGGCACCGCCCGCGCGCCCCC